GACGTCAGCGGTGACCCTCTGGGAGGAGTGCCTTGTTCTCTTACAAAGGCGCCATTTAGGGGCGGCTGGGTGCTCGTGACTCAGGCCGTGACCTCGGGGCGCATTGGGCTGGGCGCCGCCGCACGGAGCCCGCTTCACATCCTCTGCCCCGTCTCTGCCCTTCCCCACGCGTGCATCCTCTCTCGCTCTCAAAAATAAACATTTTTTAAAAAACAGAGACAACATCAAATGCCTGTAGTGAAGAGGAATTCATACATTCAGACACCATTTCTCTTTTGGGGGGAGCGGGTGTTCCCTCAGCAACAAGAGAAATGTTAAGACGTGCTGTTGTAAGAAAGAAGTTGAGGCTGAATGTTCTGCGAATGTCAGTCGTCAGCCTTCTGGCCAAAGTGCAGCGGAATGCGTTCCTTCCGTCTCTACCTGCCCGCTTACGGGCAACTCCCCTTGGCAAGATGGGCACTTAAATGGACATTACAGGAAACCCAAGGGATTAACAGATTTTTAAAAATGGCTTGTTATCTTAAACAGGGTTAGGGGCGCCTGGTGGCTTAGTTGGTTAAGCATCCGACTTTCGCTTAGGTCATGATCTCACAGTTCGTGGGTTCGAGCCCCGCGTCGGGCTCTGTGCTGACTGCCAGCTCGGAGCCTGGAGCCTGTTTCAGAGTCTGTGTCTCCCTCTCTCTCTGACCCTCCCCTGCTCACGCTGTCTCTCTCTCTCTCTCCCTCCTAGAAATAAATAAAAATGTTAAAAAAAAAAAAAAACAGGGTTAGGTCAGCTTCCTTATGTGACAGGCATTATCCTGACTTCTAACGGGAAGAAAGAAAATGAAGATTTGTTCACCATGTTCCAGGTAGTAAATTCCCGTAGTGGATAATTCCCAACAGGAGACAGTACAGAAGCTGTATGTCAGCAACCTGAACTTGAGGAGGAGAGGACTTTGTGGTCCAGCATCAGTGATGGTCATTTTAAACCTATTGAAGTGCCCTTAGTGGCTTGTTTTTTATTTTAAAAATAACCCCCAAATAAGATTCATTCTTTCATTTGCACCAACATGTTGCTATTTCCGTGCCCCCTTTCTGTCCTGAGTTGATTACAAGTCCTTCCCCTGGCCCTGCGGGGCCATGCTCACCTCAAGGTCTAGAATTGTGACTTGTGCGTGTCCATGTCTGTGACAACGCGGCTCCATACTTATTTCGTGGATGTTCAGTAAATAATTGTGGAATGTGTTCTGCTTGCTGCTTCTCTGTTGTCATTTTTGCTGGTGGTGTGTAGGTCATTTCCATGGATTTGGTGTTGGTTTTGCTTACAGAGCAGTGGGGTCATTTATCGGCGTTAGGAAAGCATTCCTTTAAACGAGGGAGGGGGCCCTGATCACCCGTCGTATGAAACTCTCCACGTATGAAACCTACTCACGTACAGCAGCAAGAATCCCAGTTGGTGACATTTTGTGACAATTTTTCCTGGTAGCTAGGACTCAAATGTATCATATCAGGAAGGTTGACTGGTGGAAAGAACTTGACATTTGAAATCTGATAGACCTGAACTCCTCAGGTCAGTTTTTTTCACATTGTGGGTCAGGATGCCTTGGTGAGATATAAATAGTGGCACGTGTCCAATGTATTTTCTTAAATACTAAAATACATGTTTTCAAAGTAATAGCCTGAGAAAGGATAAAACATTTCATAGTATTTCAAGAATTTTTTTTTGTTTCAGAAAAATAGACTTATGTATGTGAACATGCATGTGTGTGATGTGAACTGAGTCATAATCTAAAATATAGATTGTTGGGGCGCCTGGGTGGCTCAGTCGGTTAAGTGTCCGACTTCGTCTCGGGTCATGATCCCACAATTTGTGAGTTTGAGCCCCACATCGGGCTCTGTGCTGACAGAGCACACTCCCCCCTCTCCCTGTCCATCCCCTGTTGTCTCTCTCTTAAAAATAAACAAACGTTAAAAACAAAAATTTAGATTGTCGTCAAGAAAAAGTTTAAAAAATCCTAAGCTTTGGATATCTGAATGTTTCATCATTTTGAGCCTTGAATGTCGCATCTGTAAAATGTGGTGACTATTTTGAGGATTTATTCTGAGGATTAATGGCAGTAATACAGGAAGGCACATTGCATAGCATCTAATTTATATGATAGACTTTGACAGACTTGCAAAAGATGTAACTTTTACTAAAACCAATCCATTTAAAATTTAACTGATAAGGATCTAGTCAAGTGTATACAGGACTGAGTCAAGACTTCAATCCATGAAACTAATTTTTAAAATACTTTGTGATTCGAAAGACAGTGATGTTAAAAATCAATCAGGAAGGACATTGCTTAATTAATTCACTCAGTTTATTGATTTTTCTTTGAGATTGTTGCTTTCAGCTCAATGAAAGTATTTTTGATTTATCAACTCATTTACTTAATTAATATTTTTAGAAGCTGGAATATGTCCAAAGAAACATGAAACAAATTTTTAGGTGGCTCCAAACTTACGCTGTGAGAAATAGTTAAAAATTTGGTGATTACTTAAATGACATTGATTTCATGTAGTCAAAGGATTATTTCATGCCAGAGAAATTACATTAATTAAATATGTTCTTGGAAGAAGGAAGCTTGAAGACATATTTATAGGAAGTAATGGAATAGTAGAGTTCAGCTCAAAATCAGAAACAGATTTATGCTTGAGACTGGTCCTGAGTCATTGTAGCTACTTTTGAAGGGACGTTCTTCCGAGAAGGGAGGGTGAATATGTTCGGATTTGGTATTGTGCAAACTATCTTTTAGCTTAAAGAGCTGATGTTTTTTAGGTTGACTTTTATGGGCGAAACATATCAATAGGCTATATACCAAACTTTACGTCCAGTATTTTCACATGACTTGCACTTATGAGACCTGCACCTAAAAACAGAGCCCTGTAGAAACTGCTGAGGAACGTGCATATTTCTTTAATGTTTATTTGTTTTTGAGAGAGAGAGAGAAAGAGAGAGTATATGTGTGTGTGAGAGCAGGAGAGGGACCCAGGGAAAGGGGGACAGAGGATGCCAAGCAGGCTCCTCACTGACAGCAGGAAACCCAACACGTAGCTCAAACTTGTGAACCATGAGATCATGACCTGAGCCAAAGTCAGATGCTCAACTGACTGAGCCGCCTGGGCACACTGGAACATGTATATTTTTATCAGTGAAGGATTCCGTGCATTTATTGGGTCAGTTTTTATCACATGCATTTAATTGACTATTATCTTTGACTTTACTCTGAATGTCTTCATTTTGTTAGTTATGTTTGCTGAGTACTTAGGAGCAAAAGCAGAAGAGAGGTCTGTCCATTGCTCATTTCTAGCAGTTCAGTGGGTGCTGGCGTTGGTGCAAATACAGACAAAGTTGGGGCATCTGAGCACGGGAACACCCATTAAAAAGAAAACAAGCGATGAAACAGGTGTATGGAAGGAAGAGGTGACTCTTTACAAAGCGTCACCAGGCAACAGACCAGGAAAGCCATATGGCTCTGATAGGCAACGTTTGTTTTTCCTGTGACCTTCTGGGAATGCTTTTGGTGACTTTAGATTTTGTTGGGAAATTTTAATTTAATTTAAAGAATGCCCTAGATCATAATGTAGTCTGGGAACCTGAAAATGGCTCTCTCCTCCAAAGTGATTTATCGATGAGAAGTCTGCATTGTGTCAGATGTTCAGATGTGAACTGATTTGCCTAAGTAACATTGAGCTAGAATCAGAACAAGTATTTCTTCACTTTGAATCCATTGGTTTTTTTTTTTTTTTTTAAATAAATATTTACTTTTGGGAGAGTGCAAGTAGGGAAGGGGCTTCGGGGTGGTGCAGAGGATCCAGAGTGGGCTCTGTGCTGACAGGCTCACAGCAGCAAGCCTGGTGTGGGGATTCGAACTCACCAACTACGAGATCATAATCTGAACCCAAGTTAGACGCTCAACCAACTGAGCCACCCAGGTGTCCCCAAAGCAGAGGCTTTGTTTGTTTATTTGTTTGTTTTGAGATGATTTAGCTGAAATGAGTCTTAAGGGATGTGACCCACTGCCTTCCCCTACCTCTCATGGGCCCCACAGCACAACCACTAGCCTTCCAAGATGCACCATATAATTAAATTTATTTTTTTAATATTTTTTAAAAATATATATATTTTTTATTTCTAGGAGAGAGAGAGAGAGACAGCGTGAGCAGGGGAGGGTCAGAGAGAGAGGGAGACACAGACTCTGAAACGGGCTCCAGGCTCTGAGCGGGCAGTCAGCACAGAGTCCAACACGGGGCTCGAACCCACGAACCGTGAGATCATGACCGAAGCGAAAGTTGGACGCTTAACCGACTAAGCCACCCAGGCACCCCATCCATATAATTAAATTTAAAAGATCTACTTGCTGGCCTACATTTTGTGACAAGGGTTTCTGTGAATGCAGGGCAAAGAGGACATTATTTTAGACTCCCTAGGATAAAATTCCATTTTCTCAAATGTGGCAAAACAGCCTTTAGGGGAAGATTGCAGTGAGCATGATTCTAGGGGAGTCCCCTGGAAGGGAAGATGTAAAATATGAGGAAATCGGCCTTTCTACTGTCCAAAGCAGACATTTGTAAGTATTAACTCAGGAATGTAATTGACTCACCATTTCTAAGACCTTTCCCAAAGAAAACAGCGTCTGTGAAAATAGACCTTTTTTTCTTAATATAAATAATTGTTAGTGCTGATTTGAAATTGTGTTGTTATAGATGTTCTATGGGGTCTATAATGGTGGCTCTTTATAGAGAATGAGCAGAACAGCATCAGGTTTGGACGAGCCACCCCATGATCTGATAGGACAGTGTCTGTAATGGAGAGATTGGTTTTCTTTCATGGATTATCTGGAAATCCCGTGGCACCTCCAGAGCCTTCCGAGACGGAGGTTCAGTGATGTTGGGATAAGGGAATGGATAAGGGACCGAGACCAAGCAGTCATGACTTGTAGTGACGGATCTCAGAAGGCAGTGCCAGAGCCAGGTGTGGTTGTTACTGGTATTTTTAATGATTACATTGCCAGTGAGCTCATATTTTAGAATTTCCTGGGACCTGAGGCTCCCTCAAGGTGGCGGCCTATTTATAACCCATTTCAATGCTTTTTCCATCCTAAATCCTTGACCGAATGCTTAATAGTGTCTGCTACTTCCTTGTCTGAAGACTCTTCTTGACCAGCACTGCTTACCAGCTTGGCGCACTGGGGTAGCTCCCCCTCGGGAAGGAAGGACGTCTGCGTGCCCGTGGTGCCGATCACCAGCACGTTCTTCTTCAGGTCTATGGAACACTGGTGTCTCCTGAGCATGTCCAGCCCGAGGAGCATGTCCATGGGCTGGTCCTCGAGGATCGAGAACGAGCACTGCAGGAAGTCCCCTTCGATCTGGATCTGAGCCAGGTGGACCCTGCCGATGATCCTCTGCGTGCCCACCCCCTTGGCGATGCCAGCCCAGCGCCGGTCCACCAGCCGCACGATGTTGCATCTCTCGGCGCATGCCTGGCTCATGATGGTCATCTGGGCCCCCGAGTCCACGAAGGCCTTCAGAGGGTGCCCGTTGACTTTGCAGTTGATGTAGAGCATGGCCACCTGCCCGAAGCTCTCTGGGGCCTCCTCCATCGCTATGTTCATGTTCTCCTCGATGTTCTGCTGCCGGATCTCCTCTTCGATTCTGGCCTGAGCTTCCAAATCGAACGGGTCCGCGGAGTAGAGACGGAGCCTCTCCTGTTCCCGCAGGGCCCTCTCCCTCTGCTGCCCCATCAGGACGCGCGAGAACGTCTCCAGGTCCCCGCCGAGCAGGGCCTCGGCCAGCGGGAGGTTGCGCTCCTTCAGCAGCGACAGGTCGTGGGGGCTGGACAGCAGCGCGCTCCGGATGCGCGCGGGGCTGTCGGGGCCCTGCGCGCCCCAGCTCAGGCCGCGGGGGTGCGCGCGGCGCCCCGACGTGCCCGGCTCGGCCGGCTCCGCGCGCGCGCGCCCCGCGCCCTCCGCCTGCAGCAGCACCAGCACGTCGCCGTCGCGGAGGCCGTGGGAGCCCAGCGAGCCGCGGTCGTCGCTCAGCACCTGCTCCCTGTGGACGATCCGGATCTCGTCGGCCGGCACCCCCGACTCCAGCTCGCACAGCGCGCGGAAGTCGCGCAGCAAGAAGTCAGGGCCGACCTGGAGGGAGAAGGTCGCCTCGGACAGGTCCCTCCGCACACAGTACACGGTGACCAGCATGACGCGGGCCCCGGCGGGCCGGGCGGGCACAGGGCATCGGCTGGGCGGCGGGTCAGCGGGGCGCTCCGCAGGCGCCTGGCGCTCGCTCTCCCGCCTGGCGGGGGGGGGGGCCCGGCCGCTGCCCGGCCCCGCGGAACCCTGCGGCCACGCCTGCGTTCCAGGCCCCGTTTGTAAGGTGCCACTTGGAACTTAGAACGCGGGCTCCCACGGAAGCCCAGTCTCTCGCGTCGCGGCCCTGACGTTCCCAGGCCGGCCCTTCCCCCCCCGGCTGGTCTGCCCCGCGGGCCCTCCCCGGACAGCAGGGGACCGTCCACCCAGGCTGCTCTGGGAGCTGTATTCCCCGCGCTCTTCGTCACCCCCAGGCAGGGCGTGGGGTCTCCCGCACCACAGCATCACCCCGTGTGCCTGGGGTGAAAGATGGGCGTGGGACTCGGCGCCTGAGCTCGGGGGTGGGACCCGCCGCCTGAGCTCGGGGGTGGGACTCGGCGCCTGAGCTCGGGGGTGGCACTCGGCGCCTGTGTCAGGAGTGGGACCCGCCGCCTGAGCTCGGGGGTGGGACCCGCCGCCTGAGCCCGATGACCTCCCGTCCTTGGGAGGGAGGGATGGTGAACGGGGAGATCGCAGAACCGGAACAAGGCTTCTGCGGAGACACGAAGGGTCAAGAGGAGACGGCGGGTGCTGACGGATGTGCATTTTCCGTGGGGAAAGTGGTGAGAGTCACTCGGATGAAAAGAATTGGAGAAGCCGGAATCCATGACCTGCTGTCTGTCCAGGGAAGGGAGACCTCCACCGTCGGCGGCGGAATTTGTACGTGGTTTCGAGCGGCAGGACGCGAGGCGGGGAAGAGACCGACGGAGCCTGTTTGTGGCGTCGTGGGCGAGGCCGCGGCGTGGCAGTGTCTTCAACAAGGAGGACTCCTCCCTCCGGAAGCATAAAAAAGGGCAGAAGGAAAAGAGAAAAAGAGAAGAGGTTTGCAGCGGGTATTTGTGTGGTGGCCCTTTTTTCCACGTACCTGACGTACCTGACGTACCTGACGTACCTGACGTACCTGACGTACCTGACGTCAGGAAGAGGCTCCTGACGCCGTGAGGACAGTGGGGAGGGGGCTTCTCGTTGGTGCAGACGCGGCTGCTGGTGGGAGGCGGAAACCCGGGAGGGCCCCAGCCAGCGCAGTGGGGAGCAAGGGTGTTCCCGGTGTCTCCCCATCGGATGTGGGGAGTGGAAAACCCCAGAACGCGTGCGGGACACGGAGGCTGTCGTGGAGGCCTGGTTAGAAATAGGCCATTACCTCTGGTGGATGCGCGAGATGAGCCTCCGAGACCAACCTGGCGTCAGTTCTGGGGTCAAGGGCACCACGAATGCCTCTCTGGGGTGTGTCTGGCTCCCTGCGGGACAGAGGGCCCGCCCCCTCCCGCTCGCAGCTGAGCGGGGCTCGTGGCGGCTGCGGGCGGTCCTGGGATGCCGCCCTTTGTATGCGGCTAAAGCCCCGCCTGCGCGGCTGGGCCTCCCCCGTAGGAACGACCGGGTAGTCAGCGTGGGCTGCCTTGCCCCCCCCCCCCCCCCCCCCCCCCCCCCCCCCCCGCGCCTCTCTGTTGCAGGTGTGGTCAGAGGACCCCCACCGCTTCTTAGGGATTGCAGCAGCTTGAGGAAATGTGCTTTGGCTTCTGTTTCTCACGTGTTTGTGTCAGAGGAAGGATTGTATCTCACCTGTCGCTCTGCTTGGCGTCCTGCTCCCATGCCCCTCCTTCCTCATTGCTATGGGAACGCCGACCAAGCGCCCAGTGTGTGGGAAGCATGTGCTGAGTCCCAGGGGTGCGCGCGGGGATCTTGCTAAGGACCGGGCATGTTCGGAAAGGAGCCCACAGTCACTTTTTTTTTTTTTTAATGTTTATTTATTTCTAGGAGACAGAGAGAGAGACAGCGTGAGCAGGGGAGGGTCAGAGAGAGAGGGAGTCACAGACTGAAGCAGGGTCCAGGCTCTGAGCTGGCAGTCAGCACAGAGCCCGACGCGGGGCTCGAACCCACGGACCGTGAGATCGTGACCTGAGCGAAAGTCGGACGCTTAACCAACTAAGCCACCCAGGCGCCCCCCACAGTCACTTTTAAAAGAGGGTGAAGGTGCGTGCACACCACACACACACACACACACACACACACACACACACACACACACACACAATCAGGGTTGAGAAAACACCAGAGAAGTCTGCCCAACTCGGGAGGAATGAGTAACATCTGGAGGACACATGCAGAATGTGGAGAGGAGATCAGGCGGGGCCGCTTCGGGAGAGGGGCACACAGCCGGCCGCGTGGGGGTGGGCGCAGTGGGGGCCCGGGAGAGAGCAGTGCGTGGCCTCTCTCACACCTCTCCCCTGAAGGGGAGCGGCTCCTCAGGATAAGGAGGATTTGATAATGTTTTAGGGGGGGAAATCTTGCGTCGTACTTTTCCTGTAGGAGATTATGAACTATTTGGAAGTATGTTCCACTCTTCGTAGAGGCAGATGGCCCTTTGATGAAAACATTAGGTTCCCGAGTTGCTTCTGTACCTGCTAATGCCCCAGTGTGTTCGCCAGAGATCAGCTCTGGTTGTGCTGACCTGGAGAACGGGTGCAAGGGGGGGCCCAGCGTGTGCAGAGGCTCCCCCAGAGCCAGCACGGCCGGCTCCGTGCCCCCCGCCCACTCCGGACCTTGTGCCGTTCGGGAGATCATGCTAGGGCTCTGTGTTTTATACACCGCGGAGGAAATCATTTTTGTAGAAGAAGGTTTGTTGGCACAGCAAGAATGCAGGGTTCACATTAAACGAAGCTAACGTCTCTGTTCATGTTACCATTGCTTTGTTACTGAACGTAATTAAGCTTTATGCAGTATGGTTTTTTTTTGTTTGTTTAAATGTTTTATTTATTTATAGGAGAGAGAGAGAGACAGCATGAGCAGGGGAGAGTCAGAGAGAGAGGGAGTCACAGACTGAAACAGGCTCCAGGCTCTGAGCTGGCAGTCAGCACAGAGCCCGACGCGGGGCTCGAACCCATGAACCGCGAGATCATGACCTAAGCGAAAGTCGGACGCCCAACCGACTAAGCCACCCAGGCGCCCCTATGCAGTATGTTTTATTAGGTTGCTGTAGCTCTTTACTTTTGGTGGCATTTTGCATTGATGCGCTTTTTACTGTTTTAGCCTTTTATTTTTAAAGAAAAAATTTTTAATGTTTATTTCTGAGAGAGAGACAGAAAGACAGAGCACAGGTTGGAGAGGGGCAGAGGGAGAGGGAGACACAGAATCCGAAGCAGGCTCCAGGCTCTGAGCTGTCCGCACAGTGCCCGATGCGAGGCTCGAACCCACAAACTGTGAGATCATGACCTGAGCCGAAGTCGGACGCTCAACCGACTGAGCTGCCCAGGCACCCCTGTTTTAGCCTTTTCTGAGAATGCACAATAGAGAGCAGAAAGCCTCAAGGGCTGTCCAGTTCAGTGTCATCCTTCCCCAGAAAGTCACACACGATGTCAGGATCAGCGGGGAAATTAGGGCCTCCAGGCCAGCCACCCCTGCAGCCCTCATCTCTGTGTACAGCAGCCTGGAATCTGAAACACTGGACACAGCCTTCTGGGGCTACGTATCTGGGGTCTGATTCTTTCCCGTTTCACTCAGTACTGTGGGTGATTCAGAGGCCGTATGTGTAATTCTCTTACCTCCAGATGGTAATGAAAAATTTACTCTGAATGTGTAATAAACTCAGGGATTCCTGGGAGTCCATATAAACACTCCTACATGTAAACTTGATCCCGCAGCATCAATTCCTGTTGCATGGGCTGTTGAGAAGTGATGGGCGCTCTGGATTCTCCAGGTGCGCAACCCAGGTAACTGGAGGTTATTCTAACTTCTGCTGAGGGGTTCCTGTGAAGTGTATTCTCTTGCTGCTTTTCCTTGGTAAGTACGATATGGGAACATAACAACCTTCGTCTGATAACTGAGAGCCTTACCAGGTCTCAGGGCGATCACTCAGAAAACCAGTTCCCATTGTACGGCCTACACACCCAGAAAAGAGAAACGATGACACTGATTTCAGGCCGGACTGCTAAACAGCCCTGTAGTTAGTTTTTGGAATAAATTCACAACAGTGCCCTTTCTCATTTGCCTCTTTATGAAACCTTAATGCAGCAAAAAATCCAGAGAGTTATGGTTTCGCTTAGTACGGTCACTTGATGTATAAAGCCCCATGCCTTGCTCTCTACAGAGCAAGTGTCTCTTCTGAGAAAAAGGGGTAGGGATGTAGCATATGTAATAATAACCACATAGAGCAAATGTATCAGCTTGCTGTGTTTGGATTCCATCCTTGAAGTATGTGCCTGGCATCACTTTAAAAGCAAAGTGTTTGGGGTGCCCGGGTGGCTCAGTCAGTTGAGCGTCAGACTTCGGCTCAGGTCATGATCTCAGTTTGTGAATTTGAGCCCCGCGTCGGGCTCTGTGCTGACAGCTCAGAGCCTGGAGTCTGCTTCAGATTCTGTGTCTCCCTCTCTCTCTCTGCCCCTCCCATGCTCACGCTCTGTCTCTCTCTTTCTCAAAATAAATGAACATTAAAAAAAATAAAGTGCATATTAAGACAGGACAGTTGTTACTTGAAATTCTCAAAGCAACTTGGGAAAGATGCAGAATTTTCAAAGCTGATTCAGAGGTTAAACCACTAATTTTCTTACTAATCTTCCATTTGCTTTTCAGTACACAATAAATTGTGCCCCAACTGTCACAAATGAACATTTATTTCCTCAGATAATTATTTAATAGACATATTGACAATACTCTGATGAAAGTTCCAGCTTTTATTTGTAAATTTGAAGATTTCCTGTGTGAGAGGTTTAGCATCGCCCGTTTGAGGCTTCAACACCATGATGAGACCTTGAACATAAACGTATAAACAGACACGTAGTAGAAGAACCTCATGAGACCTGAGGACATAGAACGTATCCACCTGCTGGCAACTCAGTTTGTGGCTTGTGTCTATTGCAAGGAGACAGAATATAGACCAGAATATGGACACACAAATACACACGTGGGAGGAGAAAGAGTGTCAGCGAGTGCACACTTAGTGAGGACGTGCTCTCGGCCACTTCGAATGTGCCATTAAAATGATATGCAATTTTCCAGCAGGGAGCGCTTTTATGGTGCATTGTATTTATTGTAGATGACATCTTTAACATTTAATCATGAAAAGAGATATATTTTAAGTGTATATTACATGTTGAGAGTAATACAATGTCTTGATAGCTTTGGGCTTCTTCAAAATATATACTTTTGAAATCCAAATATATATGTGTATTTACTTTTTTTTTTTAAGTTTACGTATCATTGAGAGACAGAGCATGAGCAGGGAAAGGGCAGAGAGAGAGGGAGACACAGAATCTGAGCAGACTCCAGACTCTGAGCTGTCAGCACAGAGCTTGACGCAAGGCTCAAACTCACAAACTAAGATCATGACCTGAGCCAAAGTCTGACGCTCAACCGACTGAGCCACCCAGGTGCCCCATGTATTTACTTAATTTTAAGAAAGTTTGCTGCTACAGCTTTGTGCCATATAAGCCCTTCCAGTTTCTTAATCATATAAAAAGTACTCAGATCTGTAGGATGCACATCTTATTACTGAAAGTCTGAAGATTACTTACAATTTGTGAGAGAAGCACTTACAGATTAAATAAATGTAAGGTAATAAAAACAGGATGAAAACAACTTATGATTTCGTGGGTTGATACTTGTTTCTTAACTTTCAATGTACCTTAGACAAAGAACGTTTCCATTTTTTAATTTTTGCTCTAGGGAGAAGAACCAAGTTACACAGAATAGTGAGAATAATGATAATAGAACCATAAGATGTTTTGACTTGGGCTGTTATTGAGGAAAATCATTCAAACCTTTTTTTAAATTTATTTTTTATTTTTAAAAAAAATTTTAAATAGTTAATTGTCAAATTGGTTTCCATATAACACCCAGTGCTCATCCCCACAAGTGCCCTCCTCCATGCCCATCCCCCCCTTCCCCTCTCCCTCACCCCCGTCCCTCCTCAGTTTAGACTCTTGAACATTGAGAACAAACATTCAAACCTTTTTGTAATGTGTACTCTTTTATAGCAAACTTGTAATCAACACATTTCAAAAATGTTCCAAAAAAAAAAGTTCAAAACTGTAGTTTAGAAATATGGACGAGACCTATTCATAAGTTCAGATACACCTTTGTAACTTGAACATAAATTTTCTTTGTCAGAATATTAACACTAGTATCAACAATTTCTCATTACGTTTAGGTAATTATGTGTTATCCTGGAAATGAGAGAGTAATTTTTTGCTTATGTGGTGATCATATTCAATCAACAAAGTGTTCTTTTGGAAGCATTTTCTAGGTGTCTGTCTTTTCTGTGGCAGTTGATAGAGAAGACAGCATGTTTCTGAGCGTACTCCTTAAGCTCCAAGAGTGGTGTACATTTGACAAAACTCAGCTGCAGGACAGCCAAGAGTTAACAGTTTTTAAACTTCTCTTTTAAAAAAATTGTATCTTTATTTCATTAAAAATACTGTGTGAGATATTTTCTACATTAGATTCTTTTTTTTATGTGAGATAGCTTACTCACCTGGGAACCCTCCACATTCCTAAGGAAGGGCCTCAATCATAGAGGCCAGAGTGCTAGAATGAACGAGAATGGCGCCACAGGCCACAGATTGGACAAGTCCACACCACAGTGGCACCGGCATCCGGGATCTTCCTGATGCTCCCAGGAGCGCGCTGCTGAGGTCTGAAACCACTACTTGTATTTGCTTTTTGGGTTATTTTAAATCCAGTTCTGATTTACATGTGGCTTCTCTGCTCTTCCTCTTTGTTCCTCCTGTGGAGTCATTCCCGGTGGGAAATCTTTGGCGGTGTCTTGAATGGGTCCCATGAATTGCCCAGAAGCATATGTATTTGGAAAATTATAGACTTGTTTACTATTTACATGTTCGTTAAGTTTACGTGCCATTTGGAGATGAGCTCAGAAACATGTTAACTTTTTCTCATAGTAACGATTTCATGGCTACTTTTTATAAGCAAGTCATTGGGCTGGCGGCTTCCAGGACAGACGGACGAGCAGGCGTCGCTTTCGTCTTCCAAAGAACACGACACCTACTAGGAGAGATAAGACTCACGTCGGCGAGTTGCTTTGAAGGGATAACGGTTCCTTGTTGGGGTTGCTGGGCAGGGCGTCGATAGGACTGTGCCGAAGGCTCACGGCAGAACGTTCCATGCCGTTGGGCCCGGAAGAAGGATTTGGTCATGGTGACGTTTTTCCGGCCGGGGTCTGGAGGGACAGTCCTCTCCTCGACGTGTCACACCGGTCACCTGACTCCTTTCTCCTCACGCAAACATACATCTTACTGTTGACTGTTGTCCTCGTAGATGCTGTGACCAAATGGACGCAGTGGATGATAGGACTGGTGCCCGAAGGAGTGGTACCCCCCTGCCCTCAGCATCCGCACGCAGAGGAGACCCCTGTGTTTCCTTCCGGCCCAGAGCCTTGCAGGGGAAGGGGCGGTCTGGCTCCACGAGGAAGAGCCTAGGCGGTGCCTTGGTTGAAATCCGCGTGGGTGTTTTCCTCAGTTCACCTCCGTCTGCTTTATAGTTAGGGCAAGATTCCTGCAGGTCTTCGGCACGACGTTGCCCGTCGGCCGTAGCTTCCGTTACTCTCCAGCCTGCGCAGGTGCTCTGTTAGGAAATGTGTAGAGGCTACTTCAGGAATATCCAAAAGTCCTTGGGGGGGGGGGGTGCTTTTAGTATATGTTTGTATAAATGAAGATAACTAGTGGATATCATCCTGTGACTTCAAGGTGTGGCTGGAACTACACACACCTATAAGCTGATGCAGAACTGCCTGAAAGTGATGAGTGTTTACATTATCCACACCCGTCCGGCGCTGACGCAGGAGACCTCGCACCGCAGGCACCAAGTAGTAGCACGCACGCCTCCCAAACGCGGAGCGGCTGAGGCCTCTGGCCACCGACCACGCTGCCTCAAAAGCTAGTTACGCGGCAAGTCCCTTTATTTAAGATGACACTTTGGGTCCACCCGTCTTTGCAGCAGGATGTATGCTGGCTTCCTGAGGGGACCAAGAAAGAGCGGAAATAAACACAAAAGCCCCGCGTGCCACTGTAACACGGTCAGTTGGATGTTTCATGAACTGTATGCGTGATAGGTGACGTCTCCACAGCAGTCTCGTAAAAGACAGAATTTCCAGATTGTTGTTTATGTAGCTCTCTCTATTCTAAACGGCAGCTGAGGTAATTGATCGCCATGGTAATTAGCATGGCTGAAGTCCATCTGTCAATAGGATTTAATTGTATTCCAACCATGAAAATGAGAAGCAAGCCTGGTAAACAAAAGCTTCATTTAAAAAAAAAAAAAACAGCAAATAAAAATCAACCCACCTTCTGTTCTTCTCAAAAAAATTAAATTGAGCAGCCCAGAGACAAGGATTCTTTCTTAGAGCATCTCAACGGCCTCAGGTACAGAGCATTTTCCTTTTCCTTAGAAAGCTTGGGGCATGTTCACATCTCCGGGGGCCTCTCTCTCTATCCAGAGAGGTGAGACGCCCACGCCTGTCCTGTTCCATTATCATTTCCATTCCACTTAGGGATATTCTATTCCACTCAGCTCATGAAGTGTGCTTCACTGCCGATTTGTGCTTGTTTACTGATGTGTTGATGAAACATTGCAGCGCTGGTTATGCACAGAACATAAGTAGCCTCTTTCTGGTGGCCTCCGGAGGACGAGAGCTAAGCAGAGGAGCTGTGTACCGTGCTTGTAAAAACCAGAGACCTAATTTCTGATGTAGAAGACAAAGAAGATAGGACCATCGATTGTTTTTCTTTACAAACTATAAGTGAAATGGAACAGAAAAGTCTAGGGAACACTGACAAAGCTTCTATTTTTCGGTATTTCCTTATTTTTCTTCAAAACAACTTAAGGCGCTATTAATTTTGAACAAAGACTTGGTTTTATTTTATGTTCTTACTCCAGTGTTTTTCATGTAGAATGGAGAGCTGTGCCGGACCCTTCGTGCCTGTGGCTAGAAGACAAGGGACCAAATGTTCTAAGGATAACTCGTAAATTACTGCTTATGCAACATGAGATAAACTGGCATTGAATTAAAATAAAAACATGGAGCCGGGCTGTAGTCATGGTTTCGGATACTAAAATAGTCTCTCGGACTACTTCTTTATAGAAAAGTTTAAAGCAAACAGGATCATCCGCCCTCGAATTTGCAGCAGACAACCTAACACACACACACACAAACCCCAACAACCACAAAACCAATGATGACTTCGTGTAGGGGTGTGATTTGTGGTGTTGGGATGGCCGTGTAGCACACCTGCCCAGCGGTTAACCGTGGTGCCCTCTTCTCTTTTGGAGTCCTAGGTGAGAGCCTTCCCTTCTGGTGCTGAGCTTTTCATCTAAAATAACTAGGACCCTCCTTTCTTTTCTTAAAAAGAAAACTGCGAGCTCTGTTCTTTGCAAATATTGACTCATTCTCCCTCTGTGACTAAACAGAAAGTCAACAAAACACAGGCATCTTCAAAAACTAGTATAACATTTTTTTTTTTTTAATTTTTTTTTTATTATTTCTGAGAGAGAGAGAGAGAGCCAGCGTGAGCAGGGGAGGGTCAGAGAGAGAGGGAGTCACAGGCTGAAACAGGCTCCAGGCTCTGAGCCGGCAGTCAGCACAGAGCCTGACGCGGGGCTCGAACCCACGAACCGCGAGGTCATGACCTAAGCGAAAGTCGGACGCTTTACTGACTAAGCCACCCAGGCGCCCCACTAGTATAACATTTTAATTAAGGTACGTTACTCTATCCTTACATAAAACAACAGCGTCTGTAACTGCACTTCTGGAAAACATTCTCTCTTTCTCTCTCTCCCCCTCTCCTAGACACCCCCCCCACACACTCACCCAGGCACATGCCCTGCTTAAGATACACAGATCGGTAAGATAGAAAACCTGTTGTGGCTTTTATTAAATTTTTTTAATGTTTATTTATTTTTGAGAGAGAGAGAGAAAGGGTGTGAGCATGGGACGAGCACAGAAAGAGGGAGACACAGAAATGGAAGCAGCCTCCAGGCTCTGAGCTGTCAGCACAGCACAGAGCCCGACTTGGGACTTGAACCCATGGACTATGAGATCATGACCTGAGCCGAAGTTGGATGCTTAAACCAACTGAGTCACCCAGGTGTCCCGCAAGCCTGTTGTAGCTTTGAAGTCATAAAAATAGAGTTTAAGTTCCCTGAATTTGTCACTTATTATCTGAATGCCCTTGGAGAAAGCATTATGTTCTCTGAGCTTCATTATCCTCTTCCAAGGAATGCGATAATCTCTTTTCAATAGGATTTTGGTGTGGACTTAATGGATAAATTGAATTCACCTCGTAATAGAAAGACACTACTGAAGTAAGTTGTTTTCTCACATGAGCAGAAATAGTAATTAACAACCTGGAAAAGTCAGAAGAGAGGATGCAATTTATAAATCCTGAAGGAAACACATAGGTTAATTTTAATCCCTTCCGGACTCGGATTGTGTGCTGTCGTGTCTTTAAAGCCATCCGTGCTCCCTTCGGCCTTGAAACCCTGGGCTGCCCAAGATGCTAGCAAGACTTGATCACCAAATCTGTTTCAAAACCAGGATGTGTGCTTAAAAAGCTAAGAAAATCCCTTCATAGTGCAGTATTTCGACCATTTGCTCCGTGTTACTTTCAACCGTAGCAATGTGCAGGGTGTGCTTGTAGGTTATGGTAGGTCAGCAGCAAGGTCTCTGCGCACAAGGTGCCTACCGGATTATTAAGCAGACAGAACACAGCGTAAAGACCATCCATTCGCCCTACTTAGGAGTGAAAAGGTGTCGACAATTACATAAGGTTAGTCATGCCTACTGTGTGCAACCAAATGGTTGAAGTTGATGCTAAGAATGTAAGTGGTGTCTTTCCCCAGAACGATGATTTAGAATCCCTGCTGTGGACACGTGTGTGTTGGATGGGACAGCGAGAGAGCCTCATTCCATAGGACACCTTCCTCAAAGACCTTTAAAAACAAAAACAAAATCCAAACACCCAGGTTATGGAGCTGAGGAAATGAAAGCCTGGACGTGAAAGCCCAGAGTCATCAGCACTGGCCCGTGTCACCAGGGGGCCCCCGGGGTTGCAAGCGTGGCGGGGGGGGGGGGGCTCCCCGGGGGGGGGGCTCCCCGGCCCACTGACAGCAGGTCTGAATGCTCCCGTAAAGACCCGGTGTGTTGGCAGGGGTCACTGACCCTGCGGCTGTTGGACGGCACATCTGGTCGCTCGGAGCGGACCTTCCAGCCTCCTTGATGGTGAACATCATTACTTAAAAAACAAAAACCACTTTGATGACTCAGTGTTTATAAACTCTTTTTTAAAATGGACCCTTGAGGGGCGCCTGGGTGGCTCAGTCGGTTAAGCGTCCGACTTCGGATCAGGTCATGATCTCACGGTTTGTGGGTTCGAGCCCCGCGTCGGGCTCTGTGCTGACAGCCCGGAGCCTGTAGCTGCTTCAGATTCTGTGACTCCCTCTCTCTCTGACCCTCCCCTGCTCACGCTGTCTCTCTCTCTCTCTCTCTCAGAAATAAATAAAACATTTAAAATAAGTAAATAAATAAAATGGACCCGTTGAAATAAATACGAATAGAATTTCTACTCCTCTCCTCCCACCCTCACCAGTGCTGGAGGGCACTTTCGGTCCCGTTAGAAGACCCCGCCGCGTCTGATGCTCCGAGGGGCGGCGTAGGTCGGGGCCCCGGGGGGGGGGGCAGGCGGGGAACCACGCGCGGGACGGCGCGCCCCTGGGCCCGGGGCCCTCCCAGCGCGGCGCGTGTCCCCGGGCGCAGGTCAGGCGGACGGGCCTCTGCCCAGGCAGGGGGCAGGCGGTGACGGGGTGGGCCCGAGAGCAGAGGCGGCAGAAGACAGGTCCCGAAAGACCTGAGCCCGCTTCCCGGTGTCCGGAGGAGTCGCGCGCCCCTGGCAGCCGGACTGGCGGCCGACGTCGTGCTCCGGAAGCCCGCGCGGTCCCGCCCACCGCGGCCCGAGGCCACGCCCCTTCCCGGAAGTGCCCCGTCTTCCCGCCTTGCGCGCCGCGCGCCTCGCTTTCCCTCCTGGGCCTGGAAGCGGAGCAGCGGCCAGTGTCGTGAACGCGGAGACGCGGAGGAGACGGCCAGGCCCCCGTCTGGCCGGGGGCGGTTCTAAAGGACGCTCCGTGTGCTTCCTCAGGGCACCGGGCTGACCTCGGTGCGCACGGCACTCCGTGCGACGTCGTCTCGGCCTGGGGCCCCCCCCCCCCCCCCCGGGCACCCCTGCTCCCGAGGTGAGGCGGCCTCTGCGGGGACCCGTTAGGGCCAGTTTCGTACTAACTACTGGTCACGGGGGCTCTTCTGCCCTGACGTCTTCGGGAGCCTCACGATTCGTGTCGATTTCACAAAGAGGTAGTGATTTCTGCCGCCCACCGTCGGGCCAAGCCCTGCGCCCTGGCTCTGGGTTCGGGGTGAAGTGCGTACTCATCCTCCGTGTTCTGGAAGTGTCTTCGACTGCGGCTCTGAATTGGCCGATTCAGATTCGGAAGTGGCCCGTCCGTGAATCTCGCAGGTGTGTCTGTTTGGTAATCACAGTAGGTAGTAACATGTGTCTGGCAGTTGGACGTAAGTAAGGCTTAAGGGCATGGACTTCGGATGTAGCAAAGTTCAGTTCCCTCCTTGCACACTTCCGGTACATGCATCGATTCCTTTACATTTTAAAGGCTCTCGGAGTTGCTGCCCGGCTGACTCCTGAAATTACCTGGCATTGACGGGAGGCTTATTTTAAAGCATCAATCATGTTACGATCCTTGGTTAAGGTTTTGTTCCACATTCTGCCCACAACTTCTGGAGATCAGTTCTTCAAGCAGAGATTATACAGATTTGACACTGATCTGTGCAGAGGTAATTTGTATGCACGTTTTTGACAGAAGCCTTATGTTTATCTCTCATTGTTTTGACAATATTAGCAAAACATTAGACACCGACTTAAGTATCAGTTCTTTGTATGCAATTCAGTAGATTTATTGTGGTTCTTTGAAAAAACTCCTATTCCGTGGCCAATTTGTTTTACATGTGAAATGTGGATAGAATAGCAGCCTGGCGGGTAATTGTGTTTCATTTTTTTGGAGTGCTCTCGCCATGTTGAGATGTGTTCTAAAGCATATAGTTGGAGATTTTAATCCTTCTGATTTACCTGTTTTATCATCCTAACCTACAGCCCAAGGTGAAAACTACTTCTTGATACTAAATCCCAAATTGTGTATTTTGTAAGACCTTTTTGTTTACTAGGGACTCAAAGGAGAGCCCTCTTCACTCATATGTGATATTTTTTCCCTCACAGCCTTAGTTATATGACATGTGTGACAGATGTTCAAATTTCTAAGAGGTTGCCGGGCTCCTGGGTGGCTCAGTTGGTTGAGTATCTGACTTCGGCCCAGGTCATGATCTCCTGGTTCGAGCCCCACGTCAGGCTCTGTGCTGACAGCTCAGAGCCTGGAGCCTGTCTTCAGATTCTTTGTCTCCCTCTCTCTATGTGCCTCCCTTGCTGGTGCTCTGTCTCTGTCCCTTTCTCTCTCAAAATAAGTAAACATGAAAAAAAAATTTTTTTAAGTTTTTAAGAGGTTGTCAAAAGCAAAGAGGTTGAAGAGATGTTTGAGATCATATGAACACGAGCCAAAGTGCCCCCAGGTTTGTGCACGTTTTTAGTTAGATGATCAATATTTGTGTATTAAAATATGGCTAATATTAGAGATGTAGGTTGTGATAATGTCACTGCAAATTTGACTTTTAGGTGTAACAGGGAAATAGTCTATAAGAATGTCTGCAGCAAATGTGAAAACTATAGTAGGCACTTTGTCAACCTATAGAATTCCATTGGAGACTTCACGGTGGCTCTAATACTAGCTTGTTGTTGGAAGAGAAATGCTAACCATCTACGTAGTACATCTCCAGGTTATATTTACTTAACCTTTACTCTATGACTACGTAATTTGCTTCATGGAAAAGATGGGTGACATTTTAAAAAAAATTTTTAATGTTTATTTACTTTTGAGAGACAGAGCTCGAGTGAGGGAGGGGAAGAGAGAGAGGGAGACACAGAACCTGAAGCAGGCTCCAGGCTCTGAGCTGTCAGCACAGAGCCAGCCCAACATGGGGCTTGAACCCACAAGCTGTGAAATCATGACCTGAACTGAAGTCGGATGCTTAACGAACTAAGCCACCCAGGCACCCCTTTTGCTGACATTTCTTAACAGTGGGTTATCATTATACGATATTAAGATGAGCTGAGGAGAAATTGCGAAGTTTACTAAGAACAGATCAATAGTATACTTTTTTTTACAGTGAGAAAGCAAGAACTATTGATAAAAGAATAGTCAATGTCATGTTTTCTTAAATTGTCTTAAGAAATTGTACCGCTTGTCTTAAATGTCGCTCAGTAGGTAGGAGCATTTCTAGAATGATTATATATAGAGTCTGTCTTTGGTGAATTGAGTGAGTTGGAAGAACTTGGCCTTAACTGCAAAAGGAAGATTGAATTTCTTGAGACCAAGAGCTTCCTGAAAAGACAGAATGGCTGACATTCTGTCTGAAATGGACTGGGGTGAAGAAATTTGCAGTTCAGAAAGATGTAAATAAAACACTGCTCAGAGAACATTGTTGTTCATCTTACAGCTATTATTTACTAGAGATTCTTGTTGTTTCCTTATACCTTATTCCAGAAGATATTCAAGGTCATAGTTGCAGTAGATTTTTTATTATATGCAAAGCTATCCAAAGAGGAACATTTCACCCTGGGGAGCCCCCCAAAATGGCTATAGCCACTTTATTAAGTGAGTCACAGCAGTGTTTGGCTCTGGCTGCTAAAATCAAAGGTTTGTGGGTGTGTTTTGTGACTTCAGGCTAGAATTGTTCCCATCGTTTTCATTTTTGACCAACTGGAGGTACATACCAATGGACCTTCAGAAAAATAAAAGCAGTTTTTACATTTTTATGTAGTTACAACCCAGATAGTATCCAGGAAACTTTAACAAAACAACAAAATGCCCTATAAACTTAGTGTGTGTGTACCTACCTAAATTTAACTAAAAATTGGTTGAGGTTCACATATATACACTGTGTTTTGCCTTGGGACTATACAGACAGAAACCAGGATAAAATATTGTTTTACTTTTATTGTGGTAGATGTTAAGTTCAGATATTTCCCTTTCTCGTGGTGCGGAGGGAACCGAGTGTTTTGGGAAATGGACTGAGGAAGTTGGACGGGTAAGAGCCATTCTTTGATAGTGATGTAGAAAGTACATGTTATTATCTTGTCTCACACTGAACAGTAACTATGAAAGCATTATTCTGTAAGCAGTCCTTTCGTCCAGTCTGCTCACAAAAGCTACATGAACTAATGCAGCTGTCTCTGTGAGGTGTCGGAGTCCAAACATCAGTCTTGAACCCTATCCTGATGGGATCTATTAAGTTAGAACTTGAAAGGAAAATACTAAGAATAGTAGGAAATGAGTTGGGTCCACACCATGGAATAAGAACTCTACTTTGATGGTAGCCTGACTGTTTTAGGAAAACAAACTGAAGACTGCAGCTTTATTTATGTGAGCCTCCGTGTATTCTACTATTAGCATAAAATGTCCCCCCATGTGGCTCGGTCGGTTAAGCGTCCGACTTCAGCTCAGGTCATGATCTCATGGTTAATGAGTTTGAGCCCCACATCATACTCTGTGCAGACAGCTCAGAGCCTGGAGCCTGCTTCACATTCCATGTCTCTCTCTCAGCCCCTCCCCAACTTGTGCTCTGTCTCTGTCTCTCTCAAAAATACATAAACATTAAGATGCAATAAAAAATAAAGTAAAAATAAATAAAAATTCCCCCTCTTTAGTAAATGGTTAAAATCTTTTCTATCCTAGTTTGAAACATTCCTCCTTCATTTACAGATTTCTGGTAGTTTTGTATTACATTTGTTTATGTTTTTTACTACATTAACTGGGGAAGAATATAAGGCTGTATCAGAGTCCTGGTCGGGACTCTCTGCACTTTGTCTCTGCACTACTCTTACACCTAGTTTCTCACACCTCCTCCACCGTGCCTGGACCCAGGGTGTGACAAGAGCTTCCCCAACACTGTCCATCTGAGCAGCCCTCCTCACCTGGAATCTTGGAAGGTTCCCTACATACATGTATTCATTAGCTATTTGAACAATAAGCTGTGTAACAACTATCCCCAAACTAAGTGGCTTGAGGCAAGAATGACTTACTCTCACTGGGGTCAAATGGAGTTTGACAGACCTAGACTAGGTTTGCACGGTGTTGCCTTCTGTTTTCGGTTGGATCCACATCTGCTCCGTGGGTCTCTCATCTCTGTTCTAACAGGCTGCCCAACGTGTGTGCTTTTCATGGCAATAAAGAAGCACAGGAGGGTTGTATAGAGTCAATGAGAGGACCCAAGGTTGAGGCTCAGAACTGGCCCCCAGCGCGTCCTCCTGCGTTCTCCGTCAGCTCATATTCCCAGGCTCAGCATCAACAGGGTCGGGAAACCAAGTGGGTGGCTCTAGAGGGACTGCTAGGAAGTCATATGGAAAATGTTTAGGACATTGTAGGAGGGTGAATAAGGGAAACAGTAACCACAGTGTGCACTTAAGAATTGATCCCAATGTCCCTTTCTCTCTCAAAGCAATGCTGTACAAGCAGGCTCTAGAGCACTTCTCTGACCAGGCTCGTGATTCAGTAGGTCAGACCAAAGCAAATCGTCCATTTCTAGTTTTCTTTAGACCACTGTAGCTCAAAGGCAATCCGTGGGCCTCCTGTCATTCCCAGAAATCCTTTGTTAGTAGTCCACAGTAAGGTAAGGAGCTTGCGCCAGATGGAGATTAATGTGACCCCAAGTGCCCTCTAGTTTACTAAAATTGCTGATCATAGCAAGAACTTTTGATGAAGAAAGCTGTATTCTGATCCCCAGCCTGGCCTGAGCTCCTTGTTACGTGGCAGACAGGCACTTTAAGTAGCATTACCCTGGAACTTGTCTAGAAAACTGGATCCCTTAATCCAATATTTCAGTTCTTTCACTAATTCTAGATGATGCATAAATCCTCAGAATTGAAGTTAAACCATAATGAATTCAATACGTTTATATTTGTATTAACGGTCTAGTGTATTTGAAACTGTTCCATTAGTCGTATAGATTCACGCAGGGAATAACGTAATATTAGGATAGATCTCAACCTTGACACTTAGGTAGTGGCACAGGAAGAATGGAGTGCAAAATATGACCATATCCTGCCCAGTACTCTTAA